TAGGCTAAATGTTGGACAAGATTACAGGAGAAACACAGAACTAAGCATTTGAGGAGGAATGTCAGGAGACAAAGACCAAATGACAATAAATCAAAACATTTCAAAGACAATGAAAACCAAAACAAACCAAAATGCCTTCAAAGTTCCAAAAGTAAACATGGTGATTGAGCATGTGCTGTTCTTCCAGAGGACCAGAGAATGGTTCCCAGCACCCACACTGGACGGCTCATGCCTGCCTTTAACTCCTGCCCCAGATCTGGGCATTCCCCAACATGTGGCATTCACTCTCACACACAAACATTAAACAAAAACACTAAGGAAGGGTTTAAGAATATATAAGTGGTCAACTCATTAAAAAAGTAAAGTGAGCCAGTGGGTGGTGGTGGTGCACGCCTTTAACCGCAGTGCTCAGGAGGCAGAGGCAGGCAGATCTCTGTGAGTTCAGGACCAGCCTAGTCTACAGAGTGAGTTTCTGGCCAGCCAGAGCTACATATTCTCAAAACTAGAGAAAGAAATCCATTCTTTTTTTGTTTTGTTTTTTGAGACAGGGTTTCTCTGTATAGCCCTGACCTCGAACTCAGAAATCCGTCTGCCTCTGCTGCCCAAGTGCTGGGATTAAAGGCGTGTGCCACCACTGCCCGGCAGAAACGCATTCTCATATGAGCAGCTGAGTTGGGGCTGTGTCTCTGAAGAGGCGACATAAGGCCCCAGGACTTGTAGCAACGTTCTACCACAATGGGGGATAACTATTTGCTTTTTTCACTTTTTTTCCCCATTTCCCTTCCATGTTTAGCTGGACTCAGTTTAAACGGTCCCATTTTGCTGGCAACATCCAAAGCTCCATGATGAGGAGCCCACAGACCATGTGCCTTCTTCACGAGGTCAGGCCTGGTCACAGTACTGACACTGGCTTACAGCAGAGTTGTGGAGTTTTTGCCCAGCCTGAATGAACTGGTGCTTACTGGCCCTGGCATCCACAGTGAGCACAGGTCCTTGTGGCTGGCTTAAGAGAAGAAACGATGGCATCGTGGTCAAGCTTCTTCCACCTGGGAGCCCCCTTATCTCCCCAGCCACGTTGTCCTGGGCCCTGGGAAAGAAAAGGCCTGCTGGGATTTTTGGTTTTGTTTTTTTATATATATTTATTTTATATTTTAATTTTCATTTCTTTATATGTGTGTCTGAACCCTAGTGAGAGTCTGCGTAGCAGTTATAAGAGTCCTCAGGATCCACAAGAGGAAGTTGGATCCTCTGGAACTGGGCTTTCAGGCAGCTGTCAACCACATGATATCAGTGTTGGGAACCGACATTTATCAATGTGGGAAAAGAGACCCAGCACAAGTATATGTACAAAACTTTTCCTGGGATCTGGGCTTTGACAGGGCCCTGAAGCAAAACCATTGGAGCAGGAACACAGCCAGAACCCAGACCTGATTTCTAAATACAGGGCTCCTTGGGAAATAGTTCAGGGACAAATGCTAGGTGAACCTGGGGCACAGGTAAGGACACACCCAAAAAATGATAGCTACATGCCACAAGAAGAGAATCAAACTTGGAAGAGACTCTAGGTCAATCTAGGGCAGCTTAAACACGATAATAAAGCACACTAGTTATGGATTATATCACCAGTGAGATAGGGATATGGTCCCATATTGATAAAAACGATAACGGAGATAGAAATGATGTCATATTTAAACTGAAAAACAGGATAGTTATATAGTTTCAGGAGCAGAGAGAGATGGCTCAGTGGGTAAAAGCACTTGCCTCACAAGCCTGAGGACCCCAGAGTTCAATCCCCCAAACCTAAATAAAGATGGAAGGAGAGAACTAAGTCTCAGGTTTCAATTAGAGTTCTATATACACAAAGTATTAATTATACTAGGGAAACCTGTGATTAGGGAATTGCCAGTCTTAATCATGGGACACATTAGGGACACTCAGTGCAGGACATTATGACATAAGTGGCCTATTACCTTTGAAATGTGTCAAAGGCAAGGAAGGGCTTAGCAGGTGTCTCAGACTAAAAAATGAAAGGTAGTGAATGTGTCCATGTGCTAGGAGAAGGGTGCTCCTCAAATCTGTGGGGACAGAGCCTGTCATGTCTGAGTCAGTCTCCCACTATGTAGACTAGGCTGGTCTGGAACCAACTATGTATACCAAGCTGGCCTACAGCTCTACCCGCCTCTGCCTCGGGAGTACTAGGATTAAAGTCATGCACCACCACGACCAGCCACAGAAATACCTTGAGAGCTTGTTCAGGCTTCTAGCAGGAGAATAGTTACTCCTGTATCTTTGATAAAGACTGGCCCCTCTTTATCAGGGAAGGTCATCTTTGACCAAGTATGCAACTTTGGGAAGGACATACATGGGACAGTGATGAAGAAAGGTGACTTCTGCCTACCCAGCCAGATCAACCTCATATCTGGGGACAGAAACTCACTTGCTCAGGACCCTCTAGCCTTTTTGAAATTTTAGACTGGCTCTCCTGTAACCCAGGCTGTCCCCAAATTCACTTTGTAGCTGAGGGGAACCTTGAACCCATGATCCTTCTACCTCCACTTCCCACACAGGTGTGATGACCACATCCAGCTGAGGCAGAGGCTCTTTTGTGCTTCAGAAAGTTCCTGTGAGAATGAGCCCCAATTGTCACAGCACAAGGACAGCTCTATTGTTCACCTATGGTGTTGGCTTTTCCCCATGCTTGCTCCCTGGGGCCACCTCCACTGTGTGTAATGAACTCAGAAGCCAGTATCTCGGGCTCTGCTCTTGGATCTAATCCAGGGTAAGACAGGAGGGCAGAGGGCTCTAGAGTGTGTTTTGGGGGAATGGAAATGCTCCTGTAGAAGCAAGGGCAACAGGACTCAGTAGCCAGTGACCAGCAAGCAGTGAGGTCACTTGCCATGTCTTGGCTTCCCTCCCAGGTACTAAGGTTCTCCCTGGGGCGGGAAGGGTTCAGTGAAGCACTGGCATACTCAATGGTGATGTCACTGAAAGACTGGAAGCAGGAATATTCATATTGTAGCATTGCTTGGCCTCTGTTACCTGCATTAGAAGCTTTGTAAGGAGAAAACAAGAGACTATTGATTAAGGGTAAGATGAGAAAGCCAGAGGCCTCCTCAGCTCCACTTACAGGTAGCCTCACTTCGCCAGCCAAGGGGGGTGGGCACTGTGCTGAGAACCAAGCCTGGGAATTCATCAAAGTGTAGTGCAAACACTAAAGGACAGAAAGGTACACCCAGCTGGGAAGAATGCACCTTGGGATGTGCACCTTTGAGACGTGGGCATCCTTAGGTCTCTTGATCCCTCTGGTTAGGCAAAGTTGATTTCCTACCCTTGCTCGGAGGCAGCAGCATCCTTCTCTCTTTGTACCTGTAACATCCTGCAAGCATGGTACATGAGGCGGATACTTTAGTGTGTTGTGTTACAGTGAACATCAGTACAATTTTAAAAGATTTGTTTTCTCTTTCACTAGGCACCTGTGTGTTTCTGTGTGATGGTATGTGCACATGAGCGTTCGGGTTCCTGAAGAATTCAGAGAGACTGGCAGATCCTCTGGAACTGAAGTTATAGGCAGTTGTGAGCTACCTGGCTTGGTTATAGGAGCCACCCGAGGTCTTCTGCCAAAGCAGCGGTATGGGCTTTTAACCAACCACTGAGCCATCTCTTCAACCCCAATACTAACTTTCTATAGCCTTATAGTCTCTCTCTCTCTCTCTCTCTCTCTCTCTCTCTCTCTCTCTCTCTCTCCCTCCCTCCCTCCCTC